AGCTCCGCTCCGCTTTCCTTAACCCGACACATCTCATTCGCTCCATTAACGACCCCGAGCACCCCCTGACGCTGGAGGAGCTGAACGTCGTCGAGCAAGTGCGAGTGAAGGTGAGGTCCCCGGCCGCCGCGCTCGCTGCCGCTCCATCACTGACACGAACACAGGCCTGTTCAGCACCTTGTGCAGCCGAACGTGGCGTTTATCCTGTCAGTGAGCAAACCCACGGGCAACCAGGCACAGCTTCGAGTTGCATTGCGCGTAGAATACAGCACGGCATTCGGGGTAGAGGCAGCGAGGGCGGTACGGGAGTGGGACGGGAGGTGTGTGTTTTAACAGGTGAACGACGCAGAAAGCACGGTGGCGGTGGAGTTCACCCCCACCATTCCTCACTGCAGCATGGCCACCTTAATCGGCCTCTCCATCAAAGTGAAACTGATCAGGTCTCTCCCTGAGAGATTTAAGGTGAGTAGTGAAATCACTCTGGAAAGCAGAAGTGAGGAATTGTGTTTAAGAAGGAAAAAATAAAAGGCAAAACCCAAGCTAACGAACTTACAGTGAAAAATAACTAGAGCTATTTTCATATTGCGGGTGAGGGAACACTCCAGGAACCAGAGAAAGCAGTGGACTAAAATACTGACGCAGAATTACAGTTCTGTGGCAGTCATGTCAAGGGCAAGCAGGAGGGAGGGTACCCACAGTGCTGTGCAGCACAGGAGGAGGGGCTGGTGCCTTACCCCCTTGTCTAAAGCAGGCTTAAGCAGATGGAAATGCAGAATGTTGTGTTATTTTAGCCTTTATTCTGCTATATATCGTATGGTGATATCATATATGGGCAAGAATATCCCTTTTTCCTCATGTCTAATTTTAATATTAAATAGTTTGAGCTTGATCTTCCAGTGTTTTGTTGATTTTTTTCTTTTGTGATGCTTTTTAAGCTGGATGTTCATATAACACCAGGAACACACGTCTCTGAGCATGCAGGTAAGGTTTTTAGTGCTCTGTTTTATGGTCTTTCTTGTTCTGTATTGTATTAGAATCATAGAATCAACTATGTTGGAAGATACCTTTAAGATCAAGTCCAGCCATTACCCCAGGACTGCCAAGACCATCACTAAACCACCGAAGGCCTCATCTACAGGGACTCCAGCGCTGCCCTGGGCAGCCTGTTCCAGTGCCTGAGCACCCTCTCTGTGAAGAAATTTTTCCTCATATCCAATCTAAACCTCCCCTGGTGCAACTTGAGGCAGTTTCCTCTTGTCTTGTTGCTTGTTCCTTGGGAACAGAGACCAACCCCACCTCATTACAACCTCCTTTCAGGTAGTTGTAGCGGGGGGATATGTTCCCCCCTGAGGCTTCTCCTCTCCAGACTAAACCCCCCAGGTCCCTCAGCCCTTCTTCATCACACTTGTGCTCCAGGCCCTGCACCAGCTCCGTTGCCCTTCTCTGGCCCTGCTCCAGCACCTCAATGTCTCTCTTGCAGTGAGGGGCCCAGAACTGAACACAGGATTCAAGGTGCAGCCTCACCAGTGCCCAGCACAGGGGGATGATCACTGCCCTGGTCCTGCTGCCACACTGGTGCTAACACAGGCCAGGATGCCACTGGGTGGCCTGGGCCCAAGCTTCTCATGTCCAGCTCTGTCGATCCTCCATGTCCTTTTTCACTGAGCAGCTTTGCAGCTACTCTTGTATGTATTCTAAACATCTCCTCAGGCAACCTATGTTAACTAGTCATTGATTTGCCTTGGTTGTGGAGGACTCAGAAAATTGAGAGAGGCTGGGAGGTTGATTTCTTCTTGTGTTCCACCTGCACAGGCATAGGTCTGTGCTGCTGGATCGTAATCAGCTTCCTGGTTTAACTTGTGATAACACGGTAGCTTTAACTTCAGGCTGCAACTCTGGAGTGTCCTTAGCATCTGCTAAATACACTTGGCATCCCCATCCCTGGCAGTGTTTAAGGCCAGGCTGGACAGGACTTGGAGCAACCTGATCTAGTGGAAGGCATCACTGCTCCTGGCC